TGCATATGCTTGTGAGTCTATGAATGTCAAAGATACAAGTGGAATCGAATTATGGACCAACACGAAGGTATGAAAATGATCTTAAGCTGTTGCCTTTTTTTTAGAATTTTAATTCCATATAATGCATAATATGGCATGCATTGCAGTTATTAAGTAATAATGATTGCCATGTCTTGCAGCAAAACACAAGACATAAACAGTTGGAAAATATACAAAGTATTTGAGGTAATTTATGCACAAATTGCATATCTCATCTACCTGTTGCAGCTTAAACATTTATTTCGAAGAAAATTATGATGATTGCTAATATTCAATGTATGCAATTTGTTTTCGGAATATTGCTTTAATAGATAAATGGATTTTGCACATGTGTGCTCACATCAAGTGCTGAGCTGTTCCACATCTTCAAGTTCAACCAGATATCGCGAGAAACTAGCGAAATGAATTGGAATTGCGTTGGGCATTTTGAAAATGATTTGCAATTTTTGAAGGAAGTATGAGAACAATTACCAGGAACTTAATTAACTGCTGGGAATTAATTAAAATCTCAAGCCACAAAAATGCGCTTTATGCTTAATTAATCAGTGACATTCTTACTTGTCAAATGTTTATTTTTCTAATGAAATGTAGCACAAATTTTTATAATGATTTATAAATGCACAATTTGATCAAATGTAGCATATACAGCAGATATATAAAGTCTTAATCGATTTGTAGTTCGACACTGAAACATGAAACTGTTTTAATCTCATTTAAATTAATCTGTAGGAGAAAAAAATTTCACTCTAACTTTCTCATAGCAGGAAAGAGTTTCCTCACTAAGTTTTTGGACTGCTTAATTAACCCTATCCATTACTTTCCTATTACTTAATTTAGTACTGTTTGCAATTCCACCTATTGTCTCTTCCAATTAATAGTCCATTAAATTGATCGTCTTACCACAAAACAACATTAAATGAAAAACAATGTTGAACAATTACCAGGCTAAATGATCGACAATTATTATAACATGCCAGACTTTATGTTTTCTTTCACAATCATTTGCGCTGCGCTGTTCACGTTTCCATCCACAAGTGGCTTGCTGTTGTTTCTGTGAAATGTTTGTTTAAGCAAATTAAAGCTGAGATGAAGTAGTTGCCGTGACGAAAGCTAATGTATGTATTTAATGCATCAATTAATGTCCTTAAACAAATTTTGTATGCTTCGGGTTTTTTTTGGTAACTTGCAGGGTAACTTGAGGTTTGTGTGAGCTCTTGTTATAATAAGGCTGATGAAGAATCTTTTAGGATTCGAACCGGTGTCTTTAATTATAAGACGGGAAACAGATTTTTCAGTTTGTTGTTTTTTAACTGAGTAATTGACATTTGCGCAAACTAGCAGTTAAGTTCCTTGCTGGTCGAATCGGTAAGGCGCTTGGTTTAAATTTGGGATGGTAACTCAAAGGTCGTCGGTTCGAATCCAACCATTTCTAAATTTGTTCTTTTTCGGAAGTTTAGATACTTCGACTGCTTAATTTAAGAAATCAACGTTGGATTCAGGAACGGGTCAAGAACTTGAAGTACAGCGGGAGAAATAGGATCATGAGCTACAAGATTCCCTTCGAATGGATAAAGTGCAAGTAAATGTAAAAAAAAAGATTCGAAATCATAAAGCTTAATTTTCCAAAACAGGAACCAGCTCATTGACCCGCTTCATCGCCATTCCCCTCAATATTCATTTACTTCTCTGAAGTTCAAATCAACCAAAAAAAATAATTTCCAAAAAAACGAATCTGCAAACTTTTTCATCACCCATCTCGTCTACTTCAAAGTTGCCAAACAGGCACTGCAACTTTTTTGAATTAATGCAAGTATGGCATAACATATAAGCTTTTTCTAGATCGCCCCGTTTCTTTTATTATGTTTTTTTTTGCAGACCGAACAAGTTTCATTCACATATTTATGGCTCTATTGAATCATCGTCATCAAATGTCTCACGTGAAAGACAGAAAGGCACCCGCAAGATTTTATTATTTTTTTCTCATTCATTTCTCGTGTCGTGAGAAAGCACTAAACTTATTTTTTTTTGCAGAAAGTTCATTGAGCGGATTACCCAATTGATTATGTCGTTCGACATGCATTATCGTGTTTATAATTTTTGTCTGTCTATACACTTATGTTGCTATTATTATTGGGTGCCATAAATATAACACATGCATTCATACATAACATGTGAGCGTTGAAATGCAATATGCAGCATGAGAGACAGTGGAAATAATAAAAAGAAAATCGAAAGTCAAAAAACGCATTTACATCTGATTTTTATGTATTTTTTTGGAGACATTAAAAGCGGAGGAATAAGAATCACATTTCACTGACTGCCGCAACGCAAAAAAAAGAGTCGGTGTAGGGCCTTAGCCATAAATAGTCACTCTCTTATGGCACTTCAACAGCATGAGCCTTTACTTCTTCTTTGTCATATACAAAAGACTTTTTTTGCCGCAAATTGTTGTTTAAGATGAAAATGTGAGTGAAAGTTTTACTGGCATGGCAATGAATTTGGAATGAAATGAGCAAGAGAAACAACAACAAAAATAAACATGCTGAAGGGAATCGGCATCGTTATGAAAATGTTTAATTTATTTAACATTTCTTTGGATACTTTGTGGTGCCTTTTTACAGAAAATATGCATTGGACTATCAATGAAGCTATCAACATTTTGTCCACGCGTGGGTATTTGAAAAATTGGTGTTGTTAAGGTATGCCTTATGAGAAATGTGTTTGATTAATGAATGGTTTGCTTGCTTATAAGGAATGATGGTGAATTGAATAATTTTTGAGTGGCTTTTAAATGCATTTAAATTGTTTTTGAATGGTGATTTGGATATAAAGGAATTTTGCAGCTGTTTTGATGAATGTAGAATTTTATTCGGTGGTTTGAAACTAATCCAGCGGCTCAGTATTGATTTAGAGACTCAGAATTAATTCAAAGGATCAAAATTGATTCGACAAGAGTTTGAAGATTTTAAAATGAATCTGCTATGGCACATGTTGGTCTTATTAAATATGTATAATCTGTATTGAGTGTTACAAAGTACCAAGTATGCGTGTAACTAAGAAGAGAACACATAGAGGCTGAATTCTACTCGAAAATTAAAATCGTATGAGAAAAAAAATCCTGACTCCCTATTTAAGGAGTCTTACCCTTTACTCAAATGATTTCTGACCTCGATTCCTTCCTCAGATACATCCCCTCCTACCTCTCAACCTCAATCATGTAGCAAACCTTACTAAAAGCTCCCTCAACTTAAAACCTCCTCCAATTGTCAAAAACTAGACAAAAATGCGCTCTAAAACCTCCATTCAAAAAATCTCAACATCACACTCCCTCCTACTTCCTATATCATTTTTATTATTACAGCTATTTTCAGTTTCATATCAACTTTCGGAAAAAAAAAAGTCGAATGGTCAATTGATATGCAATGTATCGAATTCATTTATACATTTCCCTTTAAGTATATCTCGGCAGCAGTTAAAAAAAATATCCATTTTTAATCGATCGGAATTGTCATAAAGGAGGGAAATGAAACGACATAAAATTAAATGTATAGCATTTACATACTCATTGTTGATATCACGGCAGAGATTTTTCTCGACTTTGGACATAAAAAAATAAATAAATTCAACAAATTGCTCGTTTATGAGGTCTCTGTAGATTTTTAATCGATTTTTTAAGTTGGTGAATGATTTCTTTTGTCGGGTATGCATTAGGGGTCGTTCATAAATGATATCCAATGTTAAGTTGGATGCGGATTTGTTGGTTTGTTGCTTATCTATTCAAATTTTATGAATTTTGACATAGAATTGGAAGGAAGGTCTAAACATTTAATTATTGACGTCATTTATGAACAAACTTTTATGGGGTATGCATTCGAAAAATTAAGTTTGAGACCCCTCTGAACTCACTTATTTCAATTTCTCAAAAAAATTAGTCTTCCCTCACCAAAATCTCAATCTTCTCAAAAATTTGGACACACAAACTGAATAACCTCCTTTAAGACCCGAAAATAAAATAATAAGTACCCAAAAATGTTGATAAATTGATTACAAAGCCCAAGCAATGTGTGTTATTCTTCTTTTGCATTTCTACCACTTCACATGCAGCTTTTAATCGCACATTCAGATATGGCGAAGATTTTTGACAGACATTGCTTACATTATTCATGCTTGTGTTGCATGCAAACGCAGCAGCTCACTGACACTTTTATCTTGAACGATGAATCAGAAATTGCCATATTTTTTTTGTTGTTAGCGTCGCATTTCAAAAAAAGTGTCAAATTTCAAATAAATGCTGATGCTGAGAGACATGCGCCCAGTTGGAAATTTAAATATTTGAAGGTAGGAAAAATCAAGAAAGTTTCATGGAAACTTGCAGATTTTAAAAAAGATAAAAAGGGAAAAATTTTGAATTAAAAAATTACCAAAAAAAATCTCACAAAATCTCTCATAAAATCATGAGAAAAATTGGAAAGCAAGAGCCGCAGAAATAAATTTTTCCAATCTGGGATTTATGTCAAAAAACAAGCAAAAAAAGATTCATCAAAGGAAAGTTTTCAGTTTCCTTCCACATACGTGCCCTCTCGACTGTTTTGTGATTAATGAATTTACAGAGAAAATCACTTTTTACTGATCTGCCGAAGCATTAATGCGAATACTTGTTACATTGCAGGCAGCATCAACAACAAACCAGCAATAAAAATAAAGAAATAAAGATTTCAGTTGAATGAATTTGTATTTTTTATTGGCAACAAAGTAATGAACCCAACAATTTATCATCTACTTCTTCGCATATCCATGAAGAGAAGTAAAATTATTAATTTATCGGCATAAAAATTGCAGAAGAATTAACTCTGATTGCGATCATCGGTCAATTGAATAAACGATTATTATTTTTACATTTTTTAGCATCAAACTTTCATTTTTCAACTCTCCTTAGCGGTTTGTTCGTGAGTGACGTCTGTTAGAAATTGTAGAAGATTGGTCTTCACTAGGTTGATTTAACGAATCCTAGGCTGGTTTATAGAAGTACAAATGGCAACCATAGAGTTTTAGATATCAACATTCGATTCTAGGTTATGGTGCTCTGGAAACTGACCCAAGAGCTCAACAATAACCAATCCCACAACCCCTCCTCCTCAAAATCTCAAACATTAAACCTGAACAACTCCCCTTTTTGCTCATAGCCGACGAGAAGTCATCAGCATTTCTCAACGTTAATAATAACTTGATGATTAAGGCATTGGAAATGTTTCTACTCTCTTTTAATGGAATGCACATCAATAACAATAAAAATAAAGGTGAAAAAAAAATTGCAAAAAATAAAATAATATTTTACATCTAAAATGCTCTCTTAAATGGAAGTTAAGGTAAGTAACAATAATAATAAAAATATTACATACAATAAAACTTAAAAAGGGCTTAGCTTATTCTAAAATGAAATTATTAAATTTAGGATTTAGAAAAATTAAAGATAATAAATTGTAAATACAACATGACACAATATAGGCATGCAAGCAGGATGCTTTGTGTCTTGAGAGGTTGTTGTTGTTGTGATCTTGTAGCCGTGCATGAATTGTTATCATTAGATTTTTGGCTACTCCATGACTTAAGACTATTATTGCTACTTTTAGATGTGCTTGGATTTGGCTTTCTATTTATTAATGTATTAGTAAAACATTCAGCATTAAGCTTACTTAATTCATTTGTTAGGCTGTTGTTATTTGCGTCACTTATGGAGCAGCTCCCATTGGCCTCTTTCTTGTCGTCCTCAGTATCACATCGAAAAAAAGTTAAAGCAGAGGCATCAGATTTTGTGGACATTGCACTTTCATTTGTTATATCACTCAATTCATTATCAAAGCACTCAGCATACTCATTATTATTATTAATATCAATTAGTGTTATATTAAAGTTCTCATCTAAAATTTTATCATCGAGAATCTCATCGTCGTTAGCGATTTTCTCAAATTCTGCCTCAAAATCTTCTTCAACAATTTTACCTGGATGAATTTGAACATTTTGTTGTTGCTGCTGCTCAGCATGACCAAAGATCATCGAGAGTTCCTCGCTTGAATTGTACAATGATTCAGTATCGGATGGACCGACTTTTGGTAAGACAACAGGCTTAATTGTGACTGGCGTTGATGGCTCTTTTGATGGTGTATTGTATTGCGACGCTTCCGATGTAGTTTCACTTACAGCCTCAGAGTTTTGTCGACTCAACGTAATTTTCTGTTCTAATTTTGAAATGCTCTCCTTTACGCTCATTTTTGATTGAGCAGCATCAAGTTCCTCACTCTTTTGACTCTTGACAGCTTCCAAATTTTCATTAATTTTGTCGATGTAATTCAAAACGTCTTCTTTGTTTTGACGCATCGATTTGATGGGTGATTTATGATCATGTTCATTTGTGACTGCCTTCTGATCAACATTTTCTTTCAAGAATTCTATGGCATCTTTATATATGGCAGCTGAATCAGCGCAATCATTATTCACATTACTATTACTACTATTATTATTATAGCTACGATTCTCAATTGACGAGCTATCTTTTGATGAACTCTCTACGGATGTCTCACGCAATGATGAGCTTGTCGTTGTGATTGATTTGAGTTCGGGCGAATTTTCATCATACTCAATTTCTGATGATTTATTTGATATGGCAACAATTAATGGTTCTTCGTTCGGTAGAAAATCAGGCTTAATAACTAATGTGGCTGTTATTATAGTCGGTTTCGTTTCTGATGCTGTTGTTGCTATTATAACATTACTATTTCTCTTATTATTATTATTATTTGATATTCTTTCCAATTTTCCATCAGTCATTTCATAATCGTCTTTAATATTATCGTAATCGGGTACGTCGTTGCTTTTAGTTGATTTAAGAATATCGGGTTTCATTGCATCACGCTTATTCATCTTTTCAAATTCCGTTAGCTTTATTTGTTGGATAAGCTCTTTAATATTATTTATGTTTGATTCAACATCGGCTTTAATTGCATTAGCATTCTCAACTGGAGCTGGATTAATTTTCTTCGGACTTATGACAGTCCGTACTTTTGCATTCATAACAGTTGGACTTACAATTCTTGGACTAATCAATTTAACTGATGTCTTTTGATCGACTGTTTTCTCATCGATCGATGAACTTGATGTGGTTCTCTTTATGTATGGTGTCATTGATGATAATGACGAGGTCGTTGATGATGAGGTCGATAATGATGAAGGTTGAGTTGGTGGCTTAGTGTCAACTTCGGGTGCCTTTTCGAACATGTTTGATAAATCTGATAATTTTCTTGATGGCTTTTCCAACAAAACCTTTGCCGACTGTTGCTTCTTAATCGACTCAGGCGAAGACATTGTTGTCGTGTTAAACATTTTAATAAGATTCTCAATTTTCTCTGTTTTCTGTTGCTTTGGTGCTTGACTCTTTATGATCTCTTCTTTTGGTGGACATACATCTTGTAAATCTTTGATCGGTGAACATGCCGTAGAGGTCATTTGAGGTTTATTTTCGTTACTTGTTGCTGTATTACCAGCAGGTGATTGTAAGCTCTTTATTGGCGAACATGATGCTGATTTCTTCTCCTTTTCTCTCTCAATAGATTTTCTAAAGTCAAGCAGTGTTACAAGAGTCTTTGGTTGTGTCGGTTGCTGCACAGCAGTTGTTGGTTTTGGCGTGACAGATTCGCGTTTTAATTTTGACAAATCCTTTTCTAATTTTTGGCTTATAGCTTTTGATTCAACAACTAATGCATTTAAGCTCTTTTCAAAATCTTCACGCTCATTTGGATTCTTATTTACTAAATACAATGTTGACTTGACGTCCTTTTTATCTGCTGCCTTTGTATCAGATAAATCAAAGTTTAAATAATCATCAAGTTTGCCACCGGATGGTTTTGCTGAATCTTTTAAAATTCCATTATAAATGTGCTCAGATAATGATGACAATGTATGATTGCGCTTCATAAAATGATTATTTTCAACCTCAATCATATTTCGTCGACGATTGCAATTAGGATTATCTTTTCGTAAGTTCCTCACTGCCAAATCGTCAGCAACAACATCAGGATTATTTTGTGTTATTGTCGGTTGAACTTTTCTCATTTGTACTGGCTCAATAGACAAGTAATCTTGTGACGGTTTCGGTGGAATTGGATAGAGCTTATGATTTGGGATGCCAAAAGGCGGTTGATGTTCTTGAAATTTAGTTTTTTGATTGGCATGCTTAAGATTTCTTGAAAAGACATCATCTAATAAAATGTCGGGTTCTTTATCATTATGATTCTCTTCAGCCTCATATTCTTCATATTTTCGCATTAATTGTGTGAATTTTGTAGGCGTTGGAAGATCACGTCGAGTGGCACGTTCCATAAGATTCTCATCTTTTATAAGATTTTTATACATCGTTTCCAATTCAGTTATTGCATCATCAAGATTTGAACTCATAATATTCTCTTTCACTTTCAAATCCATCTCATTGAGAGACTTTCTGGTGCCGGGTGTGTTTATTGTATTCACTGTAGGTAGCTTACTTCTCATATTCACTTTGTTTTTATTTATATCTTCTGCGGATGTATATTTCTTGCGTAATGCCTGCAATTCATCGCTTGCGAAACTATTTTGCATTAAATTTTGCTGGTACTTGATAGGCTCGACACTCGTGAGATTTCTCTGACGTTGTGCAAATTTGTTACGCACAATTGGCTGTTGATCATTCAACGACATCATTTTCTCAAAATCTATTGCACTTTTTGATCGTTGACTTATTGGATATTGGCGTGGATTATCAACCACATCCTCTGAGCTAAAGACACATTCATTATCTAAATTTGTATTCAGATTAAGTGGCTTTCGTGATCTCGGACGAAGAATGTCGTGTTGCTGCTTAGTATTCATTTCATGTTTATTATCTGTCACGGCATTAGTTCGAGCACTTGTTGGACGCTCATTCTCATGCTTCCACAATTTATCGTCACTGAAACACTTTCCATTTGTATTAAAAATTACATATTTCTGTAGTGCTTGATCAAAATAATATGGATTCTGACTAACTGACGAATTTATTGAGAAACGACGATTTGGATCTCTTGGTGGAATTGGAGGTGGAACTGAATCATCAACTTGATGAATATTTTCATAATCATCTTTATCTTCATCAACATCTAAACTTTTATTATTACTACTTCCACAAAATACAACACCGCGTGTAATTGGAAGACTCGATGACTGATTCATCGTCGTCATCATCATCATTGGTGGTGGTTGTGTTGGCATCTGAAAGTCTGAGCTACAAATCGATGAACTATTCAATGATGCTGAGAGTCTGTTATTTCCATTTGTTAATGGCATTTGATACTTTGGATTATTCTCGATGGAATTAACACTTCCATAAACTGTTTGTGGACGTCCCTCATCTCTCATTATTCGCTGATAATAACGCTCATTGCGTGCTGATCTTGACTTTTTAGTCAAACTCGTTCGACTGCCATTCTCACTGCCACTTTTATTTATTGGTGATGATAGAGAATTATAAGATGATTTTTCATCTTGTGATGATCCCTGATATTGGAGATAATTATTATTTGTATTGTAGATGTACTGCGGAGATAAAGTTGCTCGACTCTTGTCTAGATTTATCTGATTATTTATATACTCAAAGTTATTCTGATAAATTTGTGGTGTTCTTTGATACTGTAATTGTTGTTGTTGTTGTTGTGGCTGTTGAGGTTGATACGACTGTTGTGGCTGTGCTGGCTTATAGTAATGAAATTCTGGATTTGCGACTGAATATTGCTGTTGATCAAAACCTTGCACAAGTTGCTTATTTGTTTTAACTTTTGCTGGTGATTTTTTAATAAAATCATTGCCAAATCCAGCCTTACGATCATCATCATCTGAGCTGAAATCAGCTTGTGGTATATCCTTCTTACTCTTACGGAATAAGATGTTTCCCAATGACCATTTCTTAGGCGACTTCTCCATCTTTATAAAAGAATTTTATCTGGAAGAATAAAAGAGAAAAAGAAAATTTATAATTTACTAGATTGTTATTTAATCACGTCCAATTATACTGATCATTTTTCTATAAATCATTGACTCATTCAACAGCAAGAAAATAAAATTAAAAGTTACATAAAAAGGGAGTGAAGAATAACATGAAAACAAATTAAGGGCCGTGCTTAAATAATGCTTAGTTCTTATGTAACTTAAGTTCTGATATGGATCAAGATCTCAGTGTATACAGGGACACAGCTTTACTGAAACAAATTTTATGACAAAGGAAAGAGGCATAAAAATCCAATTTTTCAACGAACGTCATTTATGAACAAACCCTTCAACCGATTTTCCACAAAAAAAATTATAATGATAATCTCACACTATATTATTGACTGTTTGTTATAAAAACGGATGGAAGCTATTGAGGCCTTAACAATTGAACATAGTTAAGTTTTCTTTTTCATAATAATCTGAATGAATGTTATCTTTTGTAACTGATCGTTGCTTGCACTTACAATTTATGTCGATTTTCCAGTGGGAATTAAAAATTTACTAAGCTTATTTTCATTAGGTTTCAAGCTTGAATCATGTTTGAAGGGATGAGGTCGTTTATAAATGATGTCTAAAATGTGATCAGAAGAGTTTTGAATGCTTTAATGCTTTAAAAAGAAGGTTTTGCAGGGAAATCGTTTTAGAAATTATTTTATGGAAGCCATGACTCAGCCTAGAGCTAGTGATCTAGACAGGGTGACATTTTAAAAGCCCAAAATCAGCTGAATATAATTATTTTCAGCAATTAAAATGAAATCAGAGCACAGAAGTGCTGTGAGCACCTTAACCTCCCCATTCCAAAAAAATTAAATACTTAAAACTGCTTAAAACTCAATAATCATCACAAAACACCAACATATTAAATAAATTTAAATCTAATAGTCATCCTTTTTACTGTAAACAGCTCATAAAATTAGGCTACTCTGCCTTCCCACTGGTACATGTTGTTCCTACTGAATGAATCATTGAATTTTAATCATGATGAAGTGACTGTGTGTTTTTAAATAATAATCAACCAATATCTAACTAGCTTAAAACATGAGATTGTTGTTTAAGAAATAAAGGAATGAGGAATAGAAACATAAGAAAGCAATAACAAACAACAATATAAATTGACTATTGATACAATGTATCTAAATATTCATCTGTAGTAAAAAACAAAATGTGAGAGAAGAGAGAAGCAAAGGCAAGAAGAAGAAATGTGTTGAGTAATCAGGTGTTCATGTGTCTAATCGAATTGAATAATGTTATATATTGACGCTGTCTGCCTATCGACAACGACGATCAGAGATTGTTTTTTTTTCGTGGATGAATGGAGCTTAGCTGGAACGGAATTTTAATTCGATGCTACGTTGCACAACACAAAAAGGGATTTTTACATTTTGGGGTTCGTTCATTGGTGATGTCTGCAACATTTAGATGTAGCGAGGATGGTTTGAAATGGATGAGAGGACATGATGACAGATTGAACACAAGAAGGCGGTTCAAAAATCGAAACTTTTTAATATACATCATTTCCGAACGACCCCTTAAGAAGATCGAATTCTGATTTTAATCGATCGATTGCATCGAATTTCGCTTCATCCAACAAAAAAAGAATTAAAAACTATTTGATTTTCCATTGGAAACGGCACTTAGACGGTTGATTGAGAATTTCACAGTGCACGAGTATCGCATTTACTTGTACTGTGGAACTAAAGTCAAACGACAGTAGCAACGAGAAGAAATAAACATTAAAATGCCTTTACGATATAATTAAAAATTGAGCTTGAAAATCTTATTTTTTGAAATGAAAATAAATAAAAAAAATTCTTTAATGTCGCTAGTCATTAGCTGGCAGAACTTTTTTATGATCACTTGGAATCGTAATTTCAAATCATTTCAAAATATTTTTTTCAGGAATAGACACTGAAATGTTTGTCCTTTGGTTGTAAAATTTTATTGGATGACATGAATTAAAGTTGGACTGTTTGCCATGCATTAACGGGTCTTAAAAGTTATGTAAGAATTTTTTTGTGTCTGTGGTCTGATGATAAAGCACTTTAGTGGCTGTTGTTTGGTAGATAACGTTATGTTTTAGTTACTTTCGTTGTTCTTTATGTCGTAAAAATTCTTAACATCGATGTTCGACATGAGAATTTTTGCAAGAACTTAAGAATTTCAAGGAATCAAGTACATTAATTCTGATGTATTTTAAGTCATCAAGCTAATGTGTTTTATGGCAGCCCACAGAAAATGGGTTCATTCACTTATTTTGTTTTTAATTGGTTTTTGACTCTGCAACCTCCTTTTGGTTCTGTGACAAAATTAAATTTTGATAGATTTTTCATGCAGCTTTGAACTAAAGCCTTTCCCCGAATGGCACAAGACGGTTAATTGTTCAGAAATCCTGCACCAAACCGGTGTGATTCTGGAATAGTGCTGGATTTAAATCGAAGCTAGAACCATGCCAGAGTCATGCCAAATGGATGCCACATTTCTATTCAGTTAACCGACTTGTGCTTTTAGGGTTCCATCTTCTGCCCTTGAATAGTTGCATGATATTGAGTTTGAAGTTTGGAAGTTACGAGTCCAAAGCTTCCAAATCCAACTAAATATCCACCATTTCAAACTTTTTCATCAGTATTCCCATTCCCAAGCCAAGCTAACATCTCAAAAGTCCCCAAAATAATTTCTTGACAGCTATGCTAATGTCTTCTATTTTCCCTGGAATTTCCATTTAGAATTCAACATCATTCTGCATAAAATATTCAAATTCGTCGCACCAAGCTCCTCATCCTTTGATTTTTTTCACCAGAATTACCATAAAATGCAACAAGCTAGCATACACATATTGTGCAAGGCTTGCATGTACAACTTAAAGAAATAATGTAGTAAATTAAAATGAGGAATGTGATGTGTGTGCAATGAGCGTTTAATTTTAGAAGCAAAATAATTTTAGAATTTCAATCACGAAAAATAAAATAAAAGAATTGTGCATGTCAGTCACTCAATTTCATCCATTTGTCCATTTATACTTAATTTCTCAAATTCTAAAGGTTAAATATGGAATTCTTGATGGAAATAAAAAGAAATGAGAATTTCTTCTCTGACTCAATTGCATTTGCCTTTTTTTTATATTTTTAATTTAAAAACACATATAGTGTGTCGAGAAAGAGCTTCGCGAGTTAATTACGTACGAATGTATTTCGAGAGGCAGGCATGAAGAGAAATTCTTTAATTTTTGTAATGTTATGTGATTATTTTGTAAAGTCTATATGCATGCATATTATGCCCTCGAGAATTTTAAATAAATATTTTGTGTAAGAACGAAATTGAAATTCTTTTTCAATGCAGCCGGGAAACAAAAAATGAAATCGACGAAATGAAATGTCATTGAAAAGAAGTCTTAGCTCCGAAAAATTCCCACATTCGTTCTAGGGGACAATCATTAATGACGTCTATCAAATATTTGAGTTTTATGAACCTTCCTCGTCTGCCATAGTTTTCATCTTAGCATTGAAGCTTCACACAGCAACTCCTTTCTACTACAAAATTTCAACATCATTTAGGAATGACCCACTAAAGAAAATGAAGTTTTTTGGACTGTGAATATTAATATATTTATTTTATTTTTTGGTATTCATTCAGTCGCTTGATATAACATTCAAATATATATTGCATATTAATAAGCAATTTGCATTTTAAACTCTCTTTCTTTATGTGACTTTCACAGCTTTTTTTTTCATAAACATTTTCATGATTTCCATAAGAAATACATTTCTTTACATTTTGTGTGTTCATTCTTTTTCGTTATCATTTATTGGTTATGATTATAGGGTGTAGATATATACATACTGACTCTCTTTTAAAAATGTATGTCGTACTCATAAAATTGAACATTAACTGACTAAAAATCCGTTGTTATAGATTAACGAAGAGGAACTTTAAAAAAATGAAATTCATTGTTGTTTTCTTATAGACAGACTCAGGGATAGGAACTCACTATGAGCTGAGCTTGGGATGCCAATATGTTAATTAAATTAATATATATTCTCATTTGTAAAGCTGCAAATTTTAATGAGCATCAATCAATTTTCAATAATCGAGGTCAAACTTCATCGATTGTTACATCATAGATGGAACCTACACATATGTGCATTGTGAGTATAAATCAAATTAATTTTGGGTGTTTAATAATTAATTTTTAATGAATTTATGCATGTCATGATTCATGAGGATGGAAAATGCAATCATGATTTTAAATTGATTATTTAGTAAGGATTACGGCTTTTGCCAAGAATTCCTATCCAGACATGAGGATAAATCATTTTAAACATGGTACAGTGGGGTCTGGCTAAATAATTTTATGACATTACTGAATTTAGTCTCGCTTAAGAAGTTGAGAGCTTCATTTCTAATACTGTTGATTCAAGAAAAGACATGCGTTCACAAAATTTTAAGCCTAGTCTCGAACTCATGACCATACTGCAATAATTTAATTGTAAAGAACTTAACCAATCGACCAACAACCCAATTCAACACAGATAAGCATAAAATCTCTGTAAACCTAAATCACAAGATACCAGCTATGTCCCACAAAAATATAAATGATCCTCATCAATAAACAATGAGCCACAACCCCCAAAAAACCAAAAAAAACAATCCAATTTTTCCACGCAGTCATAAAAACTTTCGCGCCAATTCCTCATAATTCATTAATGCTTTAATGCCAAGATCATAACGTACATGAAAATGTAATGACACACATGTATCCATGAGCTATAGTTACATTAGCCCAACAAATTGTGGATTTATTTACATTGACACTGCCAATATTTTCATGCACATATATGTATGCAGTCATAACGACAAGGAAAACATACAGAAAGAGACAATTGGGTGTGTGCTCAAATTAATTCCACGTCTCCATTGTTTTCAATTTTTAATGTCTT